ACAAAATAGAAGGAGGGGAGATCAGGATGATAGACGTTTAACAGGAAAGAAAAGCAAACCACCTCAGGGCACCCACCAACCACCCACCCACATAGCTAGCTAGTAAGAAAAATTGTATCAAAGATCACCTTCATTTTTCAGTTTGAATAAACAGAGACCCTTTTAGTAGCTTGATCCCACAAGAACGAGTGCAGATGGTGGCAGTGTGCCTTCAGGTAAACACAAACAGTGAGGCCAAATAAAGGCGCGTGCAGACACACAAAGACGCGAAAGACGCGGTCGTAGACAAACATTCACATGTGCACTTCACTGCAGGGGGCGACACTGGTTGTGAGTGTGTGTGAGTGTGGGTGAGTGTGTGTGTGTGTGTGTGTGAGTGAGTGTGTGTGAGTGTGTGTCAATGTGTCAGTGTAAGTGTGAGCATGTGTGAGTGTGAGTATAAGTGTGTGAGTGTGTGTGAGTGAGTGTGGTGTGAGCATTTGTGAGTGTGAGTGAGTGTGTGTGAGTGTGAGTGAGTGTGAGTGTGTGTGAGTGAGTGTGTCTGTGAGTGTGAGTGTGTGTGAGAGTGAACATGTGTGAGTGTGACCATGTGTGAGTGTGTGTGTGTGTGTGAGTGTGTGTGAGTGTGTGAGTGTGAGCAAGTGTGAGTGTGTGTGTGAGTGTGAGTGTGTGTGTGAGTGTATGTGTTAATGTGAGTGTGTGCGTGTGTGTGTGTTTGTGTGTTTGTGAGTATGTGAGTGTGTGAGTGTGAGAGTGTGAACGAATGAGTGTGAGTGTGTGTAAGTGTGAGAGTGTGAACAAGTGAGTGTGAGAGTGTGAACGTGTGAGTGTGAGTGTGTGAACGAGTGAGAGTGTGAGTGTGTGAACGAGTGAGTGTGAGTGTGTGAGTGTGAGAGTGTGCGTGTGTAAGAAATAGCTGCTGCTGGAGAGGACGCCAAAAGGACATTACATCTAACCAGTTGTACATGATAACCTTTGGTACACTCACCGTTGGATGCAGCCTTTGTGAAGTTGTCCAGAGTGCCTTTAGCGATACCGTATATAGTGGCCTCTGGTGTCTGGGGAGGTCAAGGTCAAAGGTCAATGGGTGGGATGGGACTTGCTCTACTTCTGGGCGTGGGGGAGGGGCCTGAAGATTGGTGAGTGGAGGGTAGGGGGATGTCAGGAGAGCTATGAGAATGGAAAGAAAGAGAGGGAAAAAGAGAGGGATAAAAGAAACATACATCATCCCAACAGACAGAAGTGGATACATCATCCCAGCAGACAGAAGTGGATACATCATCCCAGCAGACAGAAGTGAATACATCATCCCAGCCGACAGAAGTGAATACATCATCCCAGCAGACAGAAGTGGGTACATCATCCCAACAGACAGAAGTGAATACATCATCCCAACAGACAGAAGTGGATACACCATCCCAGCAGACAGAAGTGAATACATCATCCCAACAGACAGAAGTGGGTACACCATCCCAACAGACAGAAGTGGATATTTAAAAACAAACTTCCCCAGTGGGGAATAAACAAACTTCCCCAGTGGGGAATGGACCCCCTCGCCTCAGCGTGGCCCGGTGAAGAGCCTAACCATCTCACCACCGACTCCGGAACTACGGATGTTGTCGCAGACACGTTCAGTGGCTCATTTACCGAAACATGACCAGCCTGTCAGCTTTACCTCGATCTAGATGGGGAAAGGGAAAACACCAGGATGGTACAGGATTCTCTCAGAGCATCCGGGCAGAGAAATAAGTGGTGGACCAAGGTGGGCCATGTAGGTTTCAGAATACTACTACTACTACTACTACTACTACTACTACTACTACTACTACTACTACTAATTAATAGCGATAATAACAACACTAAAAATAATAATAATAAAATACATGTAATACTACTACCACTACTACTACTACTACTAATGATACTGATGATAATGATACAGCATAATCATCAACAGCAGCATCATCAGCATCATCATCAGAAGAAGTAGAAAAAGAAGAAGAAGAAGAAGAAGAAGAAGAAGAAGAAGAAGAACAACAACAACAACAACAACAACAACAACAACAATGATATAGTGGGCTGACTTAGGCCAGCAGTCCCATTACCCACTGCAAATTTTAGTAGGAAGGAACCACTTAGCATGTAAGTACCTTACACCATATCATTGGAAATTAGAAACGGACACAAGGT